TGTTGGCAAAATATCTCAAGAATCACAGAATGACATGTACAACTGATTAACTAGCAGAGTCAACCTGAGTCAAGATGGCCGCCGCAGCTAAGCAATCACAAAAACAGCTACAGCTTGTTCATTTTAACAGATATTGAGCAGAAATTTAGAGTGGTAGTAGCTGAGCAGTGTCAACAACACATGCAAGTGCAGCACATTAAACAACATCTTAAAACCAGTGTTTAATTTGTAAACCAAACGATGCCGGAACGCAAATAGCGGGGTTGGGGGTCCTCCCCCAGAAATTTTTGAATAAAGTAGTAGATGCCATTTCCTGCATTCTGGTATATTTTAACAGGTTGTTAAACATCTATGTTTATCTACATTTGTAAACACTTGATTCAATAACTATTTTAAAGAGCAACCAGAAGTAGCCTGACCAACAGCTCTCCCTGTGTGAATAAAACATGCTCTGCTTCTCTCCACGCCCCACCTTCGCATCAAGTACTATCTCCATTGCCACTGCCTCATGTGCTTCAATTCTCGGATGTTTAGTTGACAAATTGGCGCTGTTGTTTTGATACGTGATGCGCATCACATGATTACCCATCAGGCATTTCTCTTGTTGCATTTTTAATAAATAATCAAAATTTGATTAATGACTTACTTAAACTGTAAAACTGATTTGAAATTTAGTTGTGGTGTTTATTTACATTTTTGTGTTTTTAATTAAATTGCCCATGACTGAACTTTTAGGGGCGGACATTTTTTTAAGGCTAGAAGCGGAAATGCTTACTTGAAGGGGCAGATCTGATATTCGGAAGCTCATAAGAGGCTGTTATGTTTAAAATGAGTGTTTATGTAACTATTTTCAGATTACATGTCCAATAAAGGTTTTATTCATTCAAGGCAGTCAAATTTGTTCATAATTTTATCATTAGTATCATTAGTAAACCTGAGAGTTACCGGATCCAATCAAAGTTACCGGAACGCACCATGTTTGAAAGATCTGGCTAAAATTAAGCCCTGCTTAACAACCCTGTTGGTCTGTTAGCAAAATATCTCATAAAACACTGGCATTGGCTGTACATCGACATCTGATGAGAATTAATAAACGAGTTGAACATCTGGAGCTTCTAAACTTTAATCTACATCCCTAAATCAAAACTCTGGTTCCAGCCTCGTGGTGTCACACAAAGCAGTGCACGTGCAGAACGTCTGTCACGACCATCAAATGGCAGGACACTTGGTTCAAACACATCTTCTTGCCCCCGCTGAAGCAGATGGGGTCATGCTGCTGGAAGACAGTCTGTTTAATTATTAACTAGCGTTAGCGTTAGCCACTGTACCTGCTCCGTAAAGCAGGTGTCGCCTCCTCCCCCAAGTTTTTTTTGTCTCGCATCATAATTGTGAAAACACAGGTGACGACATGCAGGAGCACACTTAACCTTTCGGACGAGCTCCTAATGTGGACACACGGAGGCGGGGGGGGTAAGGGTAGGGTGATGGGGGGTGTCAGCAGATGTCTGCGTTTCAATCTGATGCCACAGATGTCAGCACAGATGATGCCACCACCGCGCGCACTCCTACACAGCTCGATGACCATCAGAGGACACCGATTCCAGCACATCAAGCCTGGGTTTAGGGACCGTGTGCTCCAGGTCCCCCGTGGGACCGGAAGCTGCAGCTGAGCACCAGAACTCAAGAGACTGCCGGTTCTGAAACACAGCAACTCATGTCTGTGAGGTTACAGAAACACAGACGGTGTTCGCAGAGAACGAAGTCCCACGATCCAACGGGACGACAAAACGACAACAGGGCAGAGACGCTCCTGTACGGCTGAGCGGAGCTGTGTGCGAGGAGCTTCCTGGGTGCCTGGAGTGGTGGTGGAGCAGAAGAGGACAGATGGACGGAGACACAAGGTTCCGGGCTTCGCCGTGCCATGCAGGTGGTCTGGGGTGCGGGGATCGTCAGTGCACGGTGAATTATTTAAATACGGAGTGTGGAAAAGGGAACGACTGCATCTGTCGCACATCATTTTAGAGCCCCTCCAGCAGATGTGTTTACTCACCACACATACCCGCTAACCGCTTAATGGGTCAGCTCCGGCAGCCAACAATTAATTAAGCAGGTCTTTTGCAAATGTCGGGGACGCGATATCAGCATCGGGTCCTACCAGGACACAACAAGCACTGTGCAGCATGTCTGGGGCGTAAAGGTGCAGCGAGCAGTTTTCTACTGAATCACTCAGTAAATCAGAGCCACTTTCACAAGACTGATTCTAAATAAATATTCAGACAACAAAGTTCTATTTTGTGTCCTGATCAGCATCAAACTTTATATATTTTATGTCTGATTATCGTGCAACACGTCAATAAAAAAAGGAATATTAGAACCTGAACTTCCTGTTTCATCCTCAAACTATTCTGGTTTTTATTTTTAGTGCTAAAACAACTTTTAAAAAAATTATTATTACCCGCCACCCAAGGTGAAGGTAAAAATGTTTTCTGCAGCTGTTACTGTTCAATTAGGAATAATATGTATTTTTTAAACTATTGTTGGCTTTAATCAAAGTTGAACTAAAATAACAGCAATTTTGAAAAAGATGGGAAGTTGTGTTAAATGTAAATAAAAGCAGAATTTAAGGATTTGCAAATCTCATAGACCCAGATTTTATTCACAATGAAACAATAAAAAACTAATGTTGATGAACATGAACGTGTTGTCATGCTAAACGTTAGGGCTCGACTGCTCTGCAGAATAATCTTCCCGTTTGTTTCACGTGCTCAAATGTTCAAAAGTTGCCTGAAAAAACAAAGTTTGACTTTAAATATTTTCCGCCGTGCGAAAATTTAATAAATGTTAGTCTTTAAAAATTATAAATTAAAACGTGAACCTCGACTGCGAGTGGCGTGCTACGACTTTTAGTATTCACGCGTCAAGAGTAGCACGTACGGCACATCATACGCCCATCGAAAAACGATTTCACAGAAATCTAGAACAATGGCCCCGACTAGCAAAGACCTTGTATAACCTTTGACCTTGCTTTGTGACCTTGATCTTCAATTCAACATTTCAAAAACACTTTATTAATCCTAAAGGGAAATTAAACGTTGTTGTAACTCGTTATCCTCGTTTCATTAAGAGATGCTATAGATACTTATGGCTGTGGGCAGGAAGAGTCTCTTTAAAAGGTCACAGCAGATATGGAGAAAATGGCCTCCCAGACTCGTCTAGCCTCTTGGTCCCCCCGGGCAGCAGGACCGCCCGAATGCTGGGCTGAACTCGTAGAGTGATGGCCACTCCTCCCAGCAGCCTGCCGAGCTCCTCGTCACTGCAGACAGACAGCTGCAGGTGTCGAGGGACAATCCCGGTCCTTCTGCTGTCACGAGCCACGTTTCCTGCCAGTTCAGGATCTCAGTGGTCGGGCACTCGAGCACAGCCGGCAAGGAGATGGGAATGCATCCACGGCGCCTCCTTTTCAACTCATTTGAGATTTGGGGCTGTAGTTGAGGTATTATTTGAGCTTTTGAGATGTTAATAACCTGCTCTCGGTTGTAAAAAAACAAAAAAAAAAAACACCTTGCTGTTATGGTTTTACATCATAAATGTCCAAAACTAAAAAAGTTTCATTAAAAATCCTTCCAGTTGCACAGCATCCGATATCAGAGGAAACAACCATCCAAAAAATGTGATTTATGTCCAGAAAAAGAGGAATTAAAGTTTCCAAATGCAAAATTTCAGAATGAATGTAACAGAACATGCAGCCACCCTGAGCGGCGCAATAATCTAAGAGCTGGGGTTATGAAATGTGTATTTGTCACTCCGACTAATGATGATGTATATGTGTTTAAAGTTTCATTAAGTTATCTTGAGCGGATCAGAAGGTATGGGACGAAATGTGTTTAAGTCTGATGAATGTTTTGCCACCCTGCACAGAAACAACAGGAGCTGCAACGTGAATAAGACGTGCAGCTTCTATTCCAGCACCGTTTCCAGCATCTGGTCAAAACAACACGTTATCCTGAGCAGGTTGACTGTAAAACACGGGCGGATTAATGGAGGTGAGGTTCAAGTTGATGTGGAACAGTTACGGCGTCGTCGTCATGATACATAATCTCTTTTAGAGCTCAGAGGCCTTCAGGAGCCTGCGGCGATTATAATCAGACATTTTTGATTGGATTGCTGTCAGCAAGGACGTTCAAATCTGTTGTTCCATCTAGAATGCCTTAGCAATCATCTGTTATGGTTTGGGATTATAAAAGATGCCGTTAAAAATCAAGCGCACACATGTTTACAGTGTCACAGTTGTACGTTGGCTGTGCTTTCCTGTTTACGCCGGAGTTTTCACGTGCAGACGATCTATAGACGCAGACGCTCGCTTGTTTGCAGAAAGGAGGCGTCTGAAAGAAAACCCGTCTAAACTTCAGGGAAACGGTGTTGATTAAAAAAAAAAAAAAAAACAGGAATGAGCACGAAGAGGAGCAGCAACGACAGAACAAAACGCAATTCTTCTGAAACACTCCACATCCTGTTCTGGTAAAGAAGAAGGAAGTAAACATGACGGCATGCGTCTCACGAGAAGAAAGACGCTGACTCGCTGTAAAGTCCCTCCATGTGAAGCGAGTCATTAAAATGTAACGCCTCTCGTTACGTGTGGACACATCGATAACAACAATTATTTTAAATAAAGTACCGTATGGTTTCTACTTTCATTATTTATAGCTGCTCTTTGTGGCTGATTTCTGCTTTTAAAAGGTTTGAATTTTGAGCTTTTTTAGTTTAAAAACATATCAGACTTTTAAAACGATATCTGAGAACAATTTTATTTTATGATCTACCGTTTCCCTTTCACAGTAAAAATAAAAAACTACAGCCTGTTTCCACAGGATGAGACCAACTCAGAACAATTAGTTGAAATAAACTGATTAAATAAAAATTATTGAAAATGTTTTACATGCTACGACGTGTAAACCTGCACAGTTTTCAAGAAGTTTCCAGTTAGAAAAGAATCCACTTACTGTCCGACATCGTAGAGCACGGGAGCAGGACACTGCAGATAATCGTTACCCACAATGCTCGGCTTCTGATCTGGAAAAATAAAAATAATGATTAAAGGTTTGAGATATATTCAATCTGTATCAAACCCTCCTGCTGCCCTTGGGTCAACATGATCCACAGGGCAGCAGTTTTAAAACTGAGGACTTGTGGGTCATTTTGACCCAAGGGCAGCAGGAGGGTAACGATGTACCCAGGTGTGCCTCTGGCTTTGTTTTGGGTCTAGTTTTCAAATTTGATTTTATATTGCGTACCCCCCACAGAGCGGAATGTCGGCGTCATTATGTGCTTGTCGTGCAAGATTTTATTTCATCATCATGCTGTTAACCTTCAGCCAAAGATTAAGAGCATGTTGTTTTTTTGTCTCCAAACCCTGTATGTCATTTTTCATCACTTTTTACTGTCTGTCCAAATATGTCCCACTTGAGTCTTTATATATATATATATATATATATATATATATGTGTGTGTGTATATATCAAGGATAAACCCCAGCTGATGAATTCAAAGCTCAGACAGATTTTCATTTTTCCATTTTCTCACGTCAAACTCGGCAAAAACAAATAAAATGGAGGCAGCTGGACTCGTTTTGATTCCTGAAGATGTCACCGCTCTCAACCAAAAGGCCTCTGCAGTTCTGACGGTGGGTTGGCTGTTCTGGGCTCAGTCGATAGAATGATAAGAACTTGTCGTTGACGCTCGTCGCACGCTTCCCGATGAGACCAACACGTGAGCGGTTGTGGTCGCGTGCTTCAAGGTGTGAAGCTTCCTGAAGAGATGAGTCAAAGCTGCACGACTGGTGTTCTAAAGGTAAAACCCGACGCCGTGTTTTGATGCTTCGCTCCTTACAAACCTGCCGTCTCCTCTCCTTATCAATGTTCTTTACACTTTGGGTTTCTTTTAGTTACAAAACATTTCTTAGTGTATGTTTATAGGAAACTCAAGACAACATAATTTAAAAACAGCATTGTGATAAAGATTTATTTTTGCGTTTAACGTTGCAAAATGAAGCAAAAAATTTAAATAATATTGGCCTCTGAGGCAGAAAGCATCACAGATTTATAATCCCAGCTAAACCCTTAAACATCTTTTCATAAGAAATGAAACTAGGAAGTATTAGAAGTCACTTCCAAACATTATTAACCGCTCAGTTATGTCAAATTCCAGCAGAAAGATGTTTAATCTCATCAGAACAATGAGCCAGCAGTCCTCGTATGAACTCACCGGGGGGGGGGGACTCAGTTTTCAGCTTTATCAAATGTATTTTTATTCTAATTATTACTGTTAACATTTGTGCAGCTTATAGGAGAATAACGCTCTGAGTGGGAGCTGAAACACAAAGAGATGGTAGATTGGATTATAATTCATGTTTTCTTCATCACAGGTTGACGAAGTCAGACGCTGAGATTATTCATATAATGGATTTTGTTGGGTTTTTTTCTGCACATGGCTCCAAATGATTTGGTGATGGAGAAGACTGTAGCATCTGTTTCACATATGTGGCGTGTGTTGCATAGCCGCCATGATGCTTGTCCATAATTATAAGGTGCCCCACTGTTAAAAAGGTCTGGACTGAACACATGCAAAAGCCAATAAGGGAATAAATAGCCCCAAGTGGGCGAATGTGAGACAGCCTAAACTGAGAAAGGACTAACAGGAAGACATCTGCTCGTGGCCACTTCCTAATTCTGAATAAGGACTTCTTATTTTTCCCCCTTTTTTTTTAAAGAACAAGAAAATATGTTTGAGTGTTTTAGTTTAGATGTAATGTTGGAAAATCAAAAATAACTTGTCATGGATGGAAGTGTTGTCATTGGCAGTCGTCGATCTCCACGGATCCCGCGGCCAAATGAGAGCTTTAAAAGATTGGCTTTCGGTGCCAAATCCCATTTGCTTCCTGAAAAAGGATTTCTGAACAGAACAGACTGCGAGCTCAAAATAAGGAGCACCGTGACCTACATAGCCTCCTTTCTTCGGCTGAATTTAGATTATACAGATAAAGGTGCGGCTGGGGTCCGGATGTCACGTTCAGACTCCAAACGTTCAACGCCGCAGCGAGCTGAAGATTTATTGACACTTCCTGCACGCCACCCTGAGATTAGATTTAATAGAAACACAGTAAATGTGAGTTTGATGTAATGAATGAAGATTAAAAGACAATTACAGATTCCTTCAGGAAAATAAGGGTAGGAGAAATTAGCATGTCGGTTCCTCCAGGAAAACATGAATCACATTAAACCATCAAGAAATATTATTTTACCTTTAACTTCAGCCCTTCACCTTTTTAAATCATCCCCCATCATGAGAAGCCATGTCTGCCTGTTAGCAAAATATCTCTTGTACTGACCAGATTTTAATCAAGCTTAGTGAACACAAAAAAATGGCCACATTTAATTTAATTAAGTTCATTTACAGACATTGAAAACGTAGCGTGGTAGTAGCTGAGAGTCATCCTCGTGACGTACGTCAAGCTTTAACAGATCGCACTAGAAGGTCGCCAGATCAAATCCCGACCCGAGACCTTTCTGGGTGGAGTTTATATGTTCTCTCCGTGCTGGGTGGGTTTTCTCCGGTTTCCTCCCACAGACCAAAAACATGCATGTTAGGCTGACTGGTAACTTAAATTGTCCCTAGGTGTGAGTGTGAGAGAGCAAACGTTTGTTTGTCTCGTTTGTCTCCATGTGTCCCTGTGATGGACTGGAGACATGTCCAGGTGTCCCCCTCCTCTCACACAGTGACTGCTGGACATAGACACCAGTGACCCGAAAGGGAAGAAGCAGGAAAGAAAGGAAGGAAAGGAAGGAAGGAAGAAGTGTGTAAGGAAGGAAGGAAGGAGCAAAAGAAGAAGCGAAGGAAGGAAGGAAGGAGCAAAAGAAGAAGAGAAGGAAGGAAGGAAGGAAGGAGCAAAAGAAGAGAAGGAAGAAGCAGATAAGAAAGGAAGGAAGAAAGAAGCAGCAGGTA